TCTTCTCTGTTACTCAGTTCATGGAATATCATGATGCGTGCCCCTTTTTGAAATTGCGCTTGAATTATTTATAAGGTCTTTCATTGGTTCAATAGGCTTGCCGAGATGAACTGCAGTGCTGTAATTGCCATCAGATTTGCGCCCCACCCCCATCCACCACCGTATTTTTGCTTCCTTTTTTCTCCATTAATGAGCTTGCAAGCATCTAACGCCCCTGTCAAAGGCTTCTTACACTTGTCTTCTCTGTGGCCTGGGGTGTTTGGTAACTCATAGGCTGCTGACGTGGCAGAGCCACTCCCAGACAACACGCAGCTGTACACCCGTGTTGGTAGCGGAAGAAGACAGTCCCAGACAACACGCAGCTGTACACCCGTGTTGGTAGCGGAAGAAGACAGTCCCAGGGAAGCGCCGGCTTGATTCTTTCCCTTTTCCTTGCATTTTGTTGCTTGTAGAGGCAAATGAAATTGTAACCAGTCGCTAAATCAGCTCTGTCCGATTGAGTTAGCTGCTGGCTCTATGCATAACTTGCTCTCAGGTTGTCTTGGCATGTAATGATTTCACACCTGGCATGATGCAGTGATGACACCTATGCACAAGTACCAATCTATGGTTTTGTAATGCCCGAATACCTCCCGCTACAACCATCAGTCTTCACAAACCCTTCTGATGAATCCAGTGGTAACTAAATTCCACAAAACAAGTCTAAAGGCCTTTTTTAAAGATGGTTTCTTTTAGTTTGCATAAGAGCACTAGAGCAAAAATTGTATTTGTCATTGACGTAAATCCTGGGGGGGGGAATATTTATCCCCCATCATGTTTTTGTGATGAGCACAAAAGTTAAGTGGAATGTGAAGAATTTTTAGGATTTCCCAACAACTGTTCACTGAAGTGTTTGCAGTGTCACAAAAAAATTAAAGAACCATAAACATGCCATTGTGACAGACTTGTACATGTAAGGTCCACATTACAGATCCACATACAGATGTGCATCTTCATCATGAATGTCGCCCCCTATAAAGTGGCCTAGCAAGTCATCCCCCACCCCCCCCCCCAAATTTCCAGCACAGATTTACGCCACTGCTATTTATTGTGGCATCTTGGAAATGGTGAGAAAAAATGTTAATACATGCACAGGTACATGTACGTACACAGTTGCCATTGATTTCCATTAAACGAGATTCCTCCAAAGGCCCGTAGCTGAAAAAAGTGGACCTGGCAACTTGTGACTTGTTTTGTCAGGTTGGGACATGTGCAGGAAATCACTTAGATTGATGGGGGGGAACAAGAAGGCATTTTAGCAATTTCAGTCATTACAATTTGATCGACAAATTGAACTTGACGGGCTGATGTATACCAAACTTTCAGGTCAGTGACGGCAGATGGGATTCAGCCTATTTGTGTCCCTGACAGCCAGCAGCTTCAGCCTGCTATCCTTACATCCACATTTTATAATGTACTTGTACCCAGCAAATGTACATGTACAGCTGTAGGAATATAAAGGATATTTAAATTCAGCAAATGCACTTGAATCTTTTTTAAATCACTTGAAAAGTCATAAATCTCAGGCATACAGCATTTTACATGGATTTTCATGAATATTTTACATGTAGGTGTATATTTACTATGTATAGCTACTGGAGGAAAAGAATAGTGATGTACACATATGTACATACAGGAACCAGTTCTGTTTTAACCTGAACTTTGTTGTGTCCTTTGCAAAAGGAGTAGTAAAAGGTTTAGTTTTTCTTGCATTTATGAGATGCACTATTTCCACCAAACTGATGTAAGGACCAGTGCAGTACCTTTTTTAGGGCTTCCTGATCAAAAGGACAAGTGTGCAATACAGGATACAGAAATTTTATTTTTCTTAGAATAGGTACATACATGTAGGGGCAATTCACAGCAAAGTGACTGAAACAAAATTGGTGTCAAATGATAGCTAAAAGTCTATACTTTCAAGATTTAGAAAACAAAATTTTAATTTTGATCCAGTTTGGTGAATAAAAATTGTATTAATTAATAACCCTGCTTTTATCCCAAAAAATTTAAAAGAGGGATAGGAAAGTTTTGATCATTATACACCTACAAAAATATGTTCAAATGACAACATTTTCAGTTATTTGAAAGAACAGTTCATATATACAGGTAAAACTGATAACAATATTTTTTCCGTGTTTTGCATAACTCGTTTTGCTTAAAGTGACTTCTAATATTTTTCGTTACTGAATTTTTTTAATTTCTCGTTTAAAGTCGAATGTAATGAAAGTTAGTTTTTAAAGCAAGTTTAGGAAGGCCTACAATATGGCACCGTCACTGACATATTCCTCCTTTTTGTTTATTAATTACAATTAATTAAAACATGTCCTTCTGTGACTGTTTTGGTAATGGAAGGACAGTAACAGAAGGACATATTTTATTTTCATTAAAAAGTTCTGGTCCATGTTTGTAGTGATTGTTGACAAATAAATAATACTGTATACATGTCATGCAGAATAACGAGTATTTGGATGTTGCTGGATTGTGAAGTTTATTCCTTCTGACAAGGTTTGATTGATATGCAAGTGAGAGATCCTGTTCTAGCCCAGGGGCCTTCTAACTGTTGAGTATAAACCTTTGTCAACATGATCAGTTCTTCACTTGGCTTTCACTTCAACAGTACATTTTATAGAGTAATTCTACCAGTGTTACATTTTGTACATCTAACAACTTAAAAGTTGTACTATATTGATGCATACTTGAAACAGTGCAGATATCTCTGCATGTTCCTGTGGTGCTGCACCGTGCTGTACACTTCAAAGACCAACCCTGTCTTGTGAGTATAATTGTTTCTTTTCTTAGATTGGTCATTTTCATTGTAACACTACACATGTAATTTGGAGACTGATGAATTATTTTGAAGTTTTAAATTTTCAAATGTTCCATGTTTAGATTTGGCATAAAAACAGATGTGCAGGTATTTCGTTTTAACAGATCAATTTTAATCAGTTTTCTTTTTGTAAGTAATAGTTTAAGATGCCAAAATATGATTTCAGTTTATAGGCCCATTAACAGCTTCATACTCTATATATGTACATGTTAATCACAGTGGTGAGTATTGTAATGTGAAGCAAACTTTAAAAAAAGTAGTCTAATGTTTTTATTTTATTAATAGGATGGCTCCAACACCAGCTGAAAAACAACTGAAGTAGGCTACAGAGAGCGACAGATAGCAAAAGGTCTAGATGACGAACACAGATCAAAAGAAATTGTACATTTACTTTGTAAAATATTGTGGTTTTGGTGGCGGGTTTAAAAGTTTCACATTCAAGAATGTTAATATAATCCTAAATAAAAGTGGCTAGTAATTACTTGTATATTTAAACCACTGAAAAACATTGAACGCAGGACTACATTATTAGGCTGAAATTTTACATTACCCAGCATATAAAAAAGTGCTCTTTTGCATCATTAGTATAACATCCCATTTTGTGCATGCTATATAATTGAGTAATCCTTTTTTCCTTCCGTTACTAAATGTTGATCCATTTACGGCATTACAGTTTATTAACCAAAGCAATTATTTTCATATGTAAACTCGATAATGTAGCTTAAGCTTTACAGATTGCATTTCTTACCTTAAAAACAAAATTAATTTTTAAAATTCACAGAGTTTATGCAAAACTCACGTTGGGTGGGTAAAGCCTTCTCTGTTTTGCCGTCCTTCTATTACCAACCTCATTAATATTCAGATTTCATAAATGAAAGATTTTCATACAAAACAAAGCTACGGAAATTGAAGTTACTGGTAGTATGTATGCTTGATAATAGAAGGGGGACATTTGTTTGATGTATTTTAAAAGTTTTGTGATATTTGAAATTTGTATAATGACTCAAATTGCCCTCCCCTTGCTGTGGAATTGCCCAAATCTAGTGTCTTTGTGTTGCTCTCCACATTGTTTTTTTATGGCATGTGTTAACCTCCCTTTGCCTGTCTGCCAATATTGTTGCACATACAAGCCACTTCAGGAAGTGCTTCATATATCAATACGACTTTTGCTCATGGGACCCATGGATATATTTCAAATGCAGTGTTGGTTCCCTGGGGTGGAGGGGGGTGGGACTGTGACTGTACACATGTATATACAGCTTATTGCTGTCAATTTTGCACTGATAGCTTGGTTGAATTTGACACCCCTCTCTCTCCTGGAAGAGTACGCATTCACATCATTGGTTAGTGAGAAACATTTATGAAGAAGTCATCTTGACTCCACAGCCCCTTGGGTTGTGATGGACTCCTTCATCTGCAGACTTGGTAAGGGAGATCTTGAGTTCTACCCTTCCAGGCTCTAAGGCCATGCTACACCATTGTGAAAGTTTGTATTTGTTCGTTAAGGGCTCTCTGAGATTTGCGAATTAGATGTAAAGAGGATGAGAAACTTCTCAGCATTGTTCAGATTACAGTGGAATGCTAATTTGCCATAGCAGCCTTTTTGCTTTGTAGGAGCCACATATGACTACTGGTAGCCCTTTCAAATGTGTTTGAGGGCTTCACAGATCGACTTGGAAGTTGGTTTTAACAGTATTATTCACGACTCTTTCTGTAGGCAGTGCCTGCATGCCCACTGCTATAAATAGTGTTGTAGTCAAGACCACTTGAGAACTTCACAAGACCACACAAGACCAGCACAAAACACAGGACCTCCAGTCTGAATTCAAGCCACAAGCTATTCAAATGAACTGCAACAAAAGCATTCCTCTGTCATTGTTCACCCTGTTACTTGTGACTGGTCTTGTGTCTGGTCTTGTGTCTGGTCTTGTGCCTGGTCTTGTGCCTGGTCTTGTGCCTGGTCATGAGCATGGTCTTATGTCTGGTCTTGTGCATAGTCTCAACCACAACACTGGCCATAAATTGGTGCATAATTTGCTCCCATCCACAGCCAAGCACTGTACATTGTAAGTCAGACTCATGGCCTGAGTGTTCATGACATTCCACCTGGCTCCTGTCTTCATTTCTGTCTCAGGACTTTTGGACCTGGCCAACTCTTACTGTGAGTCGCACCTGAAGAAGCTGTGTGAGCGCATCATCAAGCAGGGCATTAACGTGGAGAACACGCCCATTCTCATGGCGGCTGCTATCAAGTACGAGGCAAAGGTTGGTGCTCTTCAAGGGGTTCTTTTTGGTGATAGGTCCTAACTTTTTGAGGCCCAAATGGTATATACTTCAGTACAATGTTGTTATGATACAAACGCGTGGTCTGCGAAAGTGGCGTTTTCAAGAATAGGATTTGTATGGAGATTAAATGTCTGAAAGAGATTGTTAAAAACTTCGTTTCGATATTCCGAGCAAGTTCCAACGTTGTTCCGCAACTCTGATTTCTTCTTTGCAGGGCCGATTTCATAATTAACTTGTCCTGCAGATCGAAAGTTATTGTCTCACGATCCACCCTACCAGGGTCCAATAGGTCAGTGGCAGGGGGGAGAGATACAATTAGATGAAAGTCAAGGCTGTAATGTGACTTCACTGAGCTCGTTACCCTCAGTTTCAATCACAGTTATAGATGTATGCCCGTTACAGTGCCAGGAATTGACATATGTGCATGTACGAGTAGTTTGGAAGTTCATGGAAGATTCCATGAAGCTGTCATCAGCCTCCTGTAAATGACTGTCTTGAACCGTCTTACTGTACAATGTACATGTAAACAAATACTGCAGGTACACATGTTCAATGTAGCAGAAACAAATTCCGACCAACCAGTGAACTGTACTCTACTGTATCAACTTGTACTGGTATTGGGAGTGTGGTTTCTCTCTTCTTCTTTTCAACATATCAGGATTTACCATGAATACTTTCTCATTTTTTTTTGTTTTTCAATTATAAATATGGACAAAGAAATTGACTGGATTTGGATTTTTTAACTTGTGACCTTCAGACTAGAACACCGCGCCCATGTTGTACCAAGTGAGCCATCTAGCCCCGTGTTTAAAGAGCTCCTCTTTTGGACAGTATCTTTCAGGGTACACTAGTCAGATGTCATAAAAACCAGGCACACCATAGAGCCAGTGTTCACATTATGCCTCAGAGAAACGATGCCAGCAACACACTTTCAGGGTTGCAAACTTAAGGGGGATACGGCTTGATTGCTACGCATGTGTGATTCCTTTTGGTGCTCAGTGGACCATAGTTCCCATAGAAAAGCATACTAATAGCATGCCCAAAGACTTCAAAGTTCAGTTTAGGATTTTTTGTACATGTGACATATGTATGTGTACATGTGATATGTATGTTCTCACAGACATCCTAACTTAAAAATGGCTGTTGATTGATTGCCAAATACAATGTAATATCCCTATTAAGTAAATTAAAAACCAAGCTTTGACCTACTAAGGGCTATGTACAGTATATAAAATAACAAATTTTTAAAATCCAAGAGACTATCCTTTGGCCTTACGAATAATTTAAGGCATGGAAGTTTGGATTGTCCTTTTCTTTTTTTTTATTCAGAAACTTTACAAAAATTTTAACCAGTAATATCTCAGTAATTGATGTTGACAGTTGAATTCAACTTTGGAAATAGGAGGAGAAGGCGATGGCCACTAGACATACACTCAAAAGGAGCCGTTTTAATCTATTGCTTGAGATCATTTGAGAATCCCTCATGAGGAAATAATGTCAATTTAAACAAGGGGCATGGCACACACTGTATTGTGTTATCCTTGCTCGGATGCCACTCACCTGCAATTACCTAGCCGGATCTCTGAGGTCCTTTCACTGCTCTATTGAAAGGGGAAGAAAGCATCCTTGAGCAGAGGTTTTTGAAGACAGGCAGCTCGTATTCTGAAGGAGAATTTTGCTCAGGGATGATTGTACAACACCGAAGCGACACAAAGTAAATCTTTGACATGACTTCAATGCAATTTGTTCAAATTGTTCTCACTGATTGTGAATTTTGTTCACTATTTTCTCATTGCTTACCATTAACTGTTGACCCAGGTCTGAGTGTTTCACAATCAAGTTTGAGAAAATTAGGGCTTTAAAGAGACCCACATTGACAGCCTCTCTTGTCATTAAGAACCCCTGACTTTTCACTTCGGCACAAAGATGACATGCTGAAATTTACTTGCAAACAGTCTCTTGCGTGCCGTCTCCACACAAAGAAATCAGTGAAAGTGTGAAAGGCTTAAACACATTGATTGATTGAATTACCGGCCTTATATGTGGGTGACAATGAAAACAAAAGGAAAAATTGGTGGTAGATGTTGTAGTGTGTGCTTTCAATGGTCAATCCAAGGAGTTTGTTGAACCACAGCAGTCAGGGAAATACCGAATGTGGTGCTGTCATTTTTTAGTTGTGCTGTTTTGATTTGTTTGAAAACTGAACTCTAAGGCTTACTCATTGTGCGTACTTGCAAACACCCCTCACCTTTCTGAGCGCGAAATGCCCTCAAAAATCCATCCTGGAGAAAGGAAGAGGCTGTATCCCTTTGACACAGTGTCATGATTGTACATGTACATCACACTTTCTACCAAACTAGTTAAACCAACAAAAATCTGTCTCACAATGGTCTCAGAGAATCCATTGTTTGTTGTCATCATCAGTCGGTGACAATTGGTCTAATTTTTACACAGTCTAACTAATTTAAGTTTAAAACTTTGTCATCTCAACTTGTTCAAGCTTACTGCTTGTTCAAGCTCGCTGCAACCTCTCAAATTGTAATTCTGCATGTAAATCATTCCCTTTTTTTACATTGAAACCTTTATTTGAGCTGCCTGTGGATAGGAAGATTCATCGTTCATTTGTTTCCCTTCCATCCCTTTTCTGAAGTGACTCTCCTTTTCAGAGTTCAGTGTAAGGTGGGTCTTCTTTCCCTGCCTGCGTGGTCTGTACCAGCACCATCATGAAAAGGCTTACCTGTAACTTAGTAGAAAATTACATGCACATAATTCAGTTATGCCAGTTTTCATGATCGAGGGAGGGGACATTGTGAAAATTGTCAAAATTTTCTGCTTTGCTGACCCCATTGCATCGGCCTGTTACACTGAAAGGCCTCTTGAAATGGCTCCCACAAGACATTCACTGCCTCATGAAGGCAGAAGGGATTCTCACCATTGCGCCTGCTTCTGTCTGTGCGGCTGAACAGTTTCTGCGACGGGGCCCCTGTACCAGCCAGGCACAATGGGGAAGCATTGCTGCTCCACACCCAGAAGTGTTTCACGATTGGAATGATTGCTTTGCCGGTAACAAATACATGCACATGTACACCTGCCAAGGATTTTTTGGGTACTTAATGCACCCACATGCATGCACTCACAGAAAGACAGTCACTATGTAATGAATGTACTTGACATTGAGGCATGAACATCAATCAGATTTGTTAGAGTCATTGAAAAAACATGCAACCCAGAAATTAAAAAAAAATGACTTATCGCACTGAGTCAGATAGACAGTGTGTAGGCCGCTTGCAAATTGATATCTGCGATTTTTTTTTTCGCGTCACTTATATTGTATTTAGAGATGATTCACTTTGAAAAGAGGTGTTCAGTAGGTGGAAAAAAAGCATAAGTTGAAAACGTGAGGGTAGGGAGGTTCCTTTTTTCATTGAAATCTTGCGAGGAGTCTGTCCTTCACTGTAAAGGGCATTATGAGTTTGATATCTATTATCATTTTCTTGTTGATTACTTACATGTATTACGTGTATATGGGATACCTGTATTCAGCAATGATTTGTTACATAAAACTGAGTTTACTTTGGAGGGAAAGTAAAAGTGGACATTTTGAGGGATTTTGTTTTTTTATGTTCTAAATTTTCAGTTTGTGTGAATTTTTTTTTACATTTTCCTGTCAGACTATTCCAACTTTTCTTGAGAAGAATCAGGAGATCTCAAAACAGATCTTCGAAATGGAGATCTGCGTACATACCATTTTGTCTCCATCAAACATTTATTGCAGTGATTTGGCTTGTTTTGGCATCGAGCATGTACATTGTAAGCAAGCCTCTCTCAAAGACTTTGCCGAAAATTAAATTGACTGCCCTTCAGAGAACTAACGGTATTTCCTTCTCATGACCTTAAGGCCCTACAGGCCTGATTTTTTTTTAAATTGTCAGTAAAACTAGAATCACTGCGGTCTTCCAGTGTGTATCAAATCCCTTATGGCCGAAATTATTGTAAGAGAGATCTGTTTATGCCAAGCAGTTGCTGCCCCGTGTGTCCTCATCCACCTACCGTGCATGAGGAGGCAAAAAAATCTAATGCCTCGAATGCATCTGGAAAGTAGTTAGTGTCTAGACACGGTGATTAGGCAATCTTTTATGCAGCTGTTATCGTGAGGATCTGAGGTGGAGTGAAGTGATCATTAATTTCTGTCAGATTGCTTTTTCGCGCCACTTCAAGAAAGGGGGTGTTGTGGATGGACGAGGAACTAGAGAAAGGATAAGGTGGCACTTGAGTATATGCACATCCAGAATACCCTCCCAAACACATGTACTGTGGAGCACTCCATCCTTCCATGGTATTTTGATTCGGCAAGACACACTGTAGGCGTCCATAGGTCCTTGCTCTGTGGTTCATTTTCATGTAGGCAGTTAAATACTATAATTGACAGTGCTGTTACCAAACACATTAGATTTCTCAGTTCTCAAACGAAGAGAATTGTTTTTTCAAATAGTGAAAGTTGAAATAACAGCGCTGTTTTCTTTTACACTTTCACTGTTTGAGAGACTTCTTTTTATTAACAAAGTACAAACAAGAGCTTTACCCAAGGAAGACACCTGTGACTAATATCCTCATTTGCGTAGAATTGCCCAGGTTTACACTTTGAAAATGTACCCTGTGCATCTTAACAGGGTAATTGGGGAGCATACTTCACGGTCATGGCAAAATAGGAAACTTTTTTGCTCATCTTCAGGTTGATCTGGCCAAACTCCATTTGCATGAAACAAGCGCGAAATCTTGCCAGGTTTAATGGTCACTGGTCCACCTATGGTTGAGTTCAACCCAGACTAGGGTTGAGTTCAACCCGTGTCGAGAGACTGTAGTGTGAAGAGGCATACAGTGAAGAATGGTTCACTTAAAGAGAAAACAGCCTTTTTCATTTTCATTACAGTGAGGTTTTGATATGTGGTAGAATTTAATCTTCTGTCTTTGGCGCAATGCATATTTTACTCGCATCCAAGGGTAATTTTACTTCCTCCCCCAATTTCATCATCACATCAGTACTTTTCCCAATTCAGCAAAATAAGCCAGTCCAGGAATGTTTTGAAAGATGCTTGTGAAGACAGAGGAAAAGAATTAGTCTTTGCAAGTAAAAGCTTCACTGAACTGAGTAAAAGTGCATGGACTTTAAATAGATGGTCATTTTTTTTTGGGGGGGGGGACAAAATTGGGACAATCTGGTAAAATATACATATCATTCTTAAGCCGTGTTATGACTGGAAAGGGAACAAATTTAGGATTGGGCTTGTCAGAAGTTTTGCGATATGAAGCCCACAGCTTGTAAAATAGTGCTCTTGGTAAACTGGTAAAATTGTCCAGCGTTTGTTTTACACATAATATACAAGGTGTAAAGCCTCACACACATCTTAGTTCTGGAAAGGAAGCAGAGGATTGTAGGCCTACAAAGTATCTTGTAACTAGTCAAAATCATTTTATTTTATATCATTTTTATTTATATTCATGTAGAAGGTGCAGTTACTCCTTTTTAATTTTCCTTCCTAAATTCAGGAGCTGGAAGATTTCTGTTTCAAGTTTGCTGTCAATCACATGACAGCTGTCGTCCAAACCGAAGCGTTTCAAAACCTAGACGATGGATACGTGAAGGATTTCCTGGCCAAAGCAGCACAGTGGGGTGCCTTTAAATACTGACAAAAGGCCTCTGGGCAACTAGAGGCCCCTTGGCGACTGGAGGCACCTGGGCAACAAGAGGCCCCTGGGCAACTGGAGGCACCTGGGCAATAGCACGTCCCTGGGCAGCTGGAGGCCCCTAGACAGTTTGAGGCACCTGGAGAACCTGTGGCCGCTAGCCAATGGGAAGCCGCTGGACAACAAGAGTAGGACCCAGGCAGCTGAAGGCCCACGGGCTACAGCAAGCCTCATGGAATATAAAATCGTGAGCCACGTTTTCATTCAAATCAAGTGGATATGGACTGACATCACCCTATATTTATGAAACAATAGCATATCAGATGAAGGGAATTCCTCGACTCTGATTTTGTGCAACCATGAAAGACTGATTTGCACCAAGTTGCACCTACTATTAACTTGTTCTACGAAAAACAAAGCTTGTCAACGAGTAAATTGACTTCATAACTTAGCTTTGGCTTTCTAAAATGTGCAAAGTCTTTGTTATTAAATTTTTACTGCATTGTATCGATAAGTGGAATAGTGAAATTGATGTTTTGAAATTGTAAAGTAAATATTGCGAGAAATAATTGACATTGAGTACTCAAAAAGTAAAGTTGCAAATCATTTCTGTTCGCCAGAATCAGTGATTATTGTTGGTTTGGAGGATCCCCAGTGCGTCAGTTGTGTGTTAACATAAAGCATTCCTGACGCCACCTACTGTTCACGAAAACTGCAGTTAAGTTTGTTGTACAGTGTACTTTCATCTGTGATCTGCATGGTTCCTATAACATTTTGCAATCTGGGTTGGATACCGTACATGGGATTTCAAAGTGGTTTCGGGTGAGAGTTTGGATTCTGTTTGGCTAGTTCACATACATGAATTGTCCAGTTCAATCGGAAATGCTTCGATACACTTAGTTTTCAATCTAATCCCTCATAAGTCGATTAACATGATGTCGCATTGGCCGACAGCCTCCTTAGAGTTTAGGAAATTACCAACTTGATAGGTATTAAATTTTGGGCGGGATCAGTCGATCTGTGTGATCGCATTGCGCTAGCGGTCAATCCTTTATGACATCTCCACCTTTACGTGTACTCCCCTTTTTCGAAACAATCTTCCACAACCGCAAATCAGAAAAATGGCCACTGGCTAAGTGCAGAATTACCCGCGAAGCGTGCAATAAGATCGACTTATCGCGCAAAGATCGAGCGATCGCACAGATCGACTGATCGTACCAAATGTCACGTTTGTGCAATTTTCAGCTTTTAGCCTTTTATCCTACCAGTTTTATAAAGCAGACGTTTTTCATGCTAACAGTAGGTTGTGCAATTGTATTGTGTCATCAGGCGGTACAATGTGACGTTTATTTATATTCGGGCAAAATATCAGTAGAGAAAAATGTCAATAGAACGAAGAGAATGAATGGTGTTGTGAGACTGACGTCTAATTAGCGATAAGTGTACTTTTTTAAAAGAAAAATGGAAAAGAGATTCTTTAAACATCTTTAGTTCCAAGTGCTGCGTTGAAATCCGTTTGTAAATCGGTAACAACGAGAATGAAATGTGGTGCTAAAAATACGCTCATTTTCTCGTGGCTTTCACATTTGATACATATCACATATAGGCCTACACGTATTGCATTCCGTCTGGAAATACGATGGCCAAAAGTTCAAGGCATGATTTTGAGTGCACAATCTGCCCAATACATTGTAGTCCCATCCATTGATGTTCCTGTTTTTGTCGTAAAGTCTTAGATATACATGGAGCTGTATGTTGCCTCAAAAATGACGGAGAAGGTCACTGCTAGGCTATGGTATGTGCCGAGGTTGATCGGTCTCTGAAGGATTTGGCGTCGAAGTCTAAACCTTGTCGTAAAAATAGGAAACATGACTCTTTTTCTGTTGGTGGGCACTTCCGATCTTCAGCTTAAACGTGTCGAGCCATAGAATTTCCAGCACGTAAAGAAACACACACCCTCAGCACAGCACCGATAAAGTGCCATAAATACTTATTATTACTGATTCTAGGATGAAGATTCAGTCGTGTATCATTCCTGGTATCGTAATCACACCGCGTGTGCCGAGTGAAACTCGAGCGAGATTTACAGGAGGTAAAGTCTTTGCTACGACCCCCCCCCGACCGCTTTCCTTCACATTTGGCCCCTGGACTTGTGAACATTGATCATTGATTGTATTCATTGTCAGTTGCAAATACATGTAAACATTTTTGTTTATATTTTCCTACGTGAAATAAATATTCATGCATAGCGTCTTTTTCGTTCATTTGAAGTGTCTTACATCCTATTACGTTGTAATCACAATAAAAGTTTTCTTTTGTTGTGGTCAGAATTACACTTCCATCTTGTGCGCTGTAATAAAGGAATTTCGCATTAGCGGCGTCTGCGCGTATCCGCATTGAAACCGAGGCTCTCTGCGTTGAACGTCGTCGTGTGCGCCCGTGGGGTCGACACAGTACATACAGTATCAGGTTCGTAAGTGTGACGCCACTTCAGTTTAAGCCACGCCCACTGCACATGCAGATACACAACCATCGCAGGTACGTTAGTTCGCGGTAAATTGCCGTTATTTTTCCTTTTGATTTTACGTGTCGAGTCATCCTGAAAGACTTTTCCACAAAAATGTGCAGCCTGAAAAGTCTGAATTTAACATACCTTTATGTATTTCTTCTTTTTTTTTTTGGTCATGACTCCTTACTTTCAATCGTCTGATCGTATTAAGAATTGAAACGGACACATACAGCCTCGTTTTCAAACGCGAAAGTGCGCAGATCGACTCCAAAAGCGTTGTATTGGGATCCCTCTATTCAAGAGAAATCAAAACTCTCGTCTACGTTATGCTTAACCTACAGAACAGCAGATTCAGCGCTGTGCGTCTTTTTGACCCCTTAATAGGTAATCGTGTTTAAAAAGTGTTTAATCATAGAGGGTGATCGGGACTATGGACCTGTCTCTAGCTACTTCACTTTTTGCCTGTACCGTTTGATTGGTAAACAGTGGTTGGCCACGTGGGTGTCGAAAAGGGGTCTTTAGCTAATGAGTGCTTTGTCCCCCTTCCAAAAAAGTGCCCCCCCCTCCACCGGAATAATCCTCCTGACGCCCATGGTAGGCCGGCATTACCAAAGCACGCGACTAATTCACAGATTTTAACAAAATTTCACGTCATCACAACAAAAACCCAAATGTGTACTGCTTGAACTAATTATAAATGGAAATACTCGCGCGCTGTTTGCCAGAGTCCGTTAACAACCCGAGAGTGAAATCTCTGTAGTTTTTGGCTGCCGATACAAATGATCAGTAAGTACAAACATTTCTACTTCGAGAGGAGCAGGGAAGTATTCAGGGAAAAAAAACAGTAGTCTTTTCAAGTCTAAGCAAACTAGTATCATACAGTGGTTTGTGCATGTGAAGTCTGCTGGAAATAATGCCAAAAGCAGACTGTACACTACAAAAAAAGTACTGAGAGTTTAAACATATTTCTAAACACTTTTTTCGTTCTCACTTTTTTAGCATGTTTAACCACGACATGTTTTATGTCATGCGCTTTTCCATGGTACGGGTTTAGCTCTAAGAAATCCGCTTTGCGCTTAAACACATTCCTAAACACAGTTCACAAAACGTCATGGGTATTAAACGTGTGGAAAATTTGGGTACAAAAAGGGGTCAATCCAATTTTGTGTACGATCCTTCATTTATATAGAGAGGAGGGGTTTTTAGATTTTAGGAATTTAGAGCATCCCCGTAACACCTTTGGCTGTTTGTGCCACATCGTAATTGATCAACACAAACTTGGGTTTAATGACTACCATCAACTGCCACTTCAAGATTTGTTTTTGGGAGGACTTGGAGAAGGCACTGCAGCCCTGATAAATGCTTCAACCGCGATGAAGGTGGAGCTACCGCGGCGTCTGTTCGCCAACTTCAGGGTAGATTTCCCTTTCCGTGTATGCGGTTATCCCCAATACCCATTGAGATCTTCGTCACTTTTCTCAAAAAAAGAACGGAAACTGACCCTTTTTGGGCCCTGCATCTGTGGTTATATGTTAACTACGATTGAAAGTCTGTTGCCACGCACGGGTTTAGATGAACAATCCATGCGGCCACTTCTGGGTCCCAGTCCCTGTTGACATGACACTAATGAACACTGCATTTTAGTTTCCATGAGCTGTTTCCAGGTTAAAATTGGATTTTTATCTGATCCGGATGTTTGAAGGAGTATAAATAGCAGCAACCGGTAATGACTTCCATCGGGATGGGAAGGCTTTGAGGGTTAAAGCTACAACATTCAACAGTCACAAGAATCCGAAAATGGCAGCTGACTCAGTGTGCTCTGCATTGATTTGTTTCACGACTTATTTTTCTGTTGAAATTCGGCAGTGGTGCTTGAATACTGTGAACCCCAAAATTCAAACTGTTATTTAACAGCAGGAATTTGTACTACTGCATGTTTTGTGGATGCTTAAAGGGTCTGTGCAGTGCAACTTTTAGCACCGTACAAACCTTCACATGTGTGTCTCAGTTAACCATATTGCTATATTTCATTTCACAATAGTATTCTTGGTTTGTATTCATAGTAATTTCATATGAGAAAACACTGTGATGTCATCCCGGGAAGAAACCCTCCATGTTACATTGGTTTGTGCACACGAAAACTTCAGGATGTTTGTACGTATTTCTGGCCAACTTGTCAGCTTTGGCTTTTTTGATGTTTCATCGTTTAAGCACATAATAAAACCTCGGCGAGCAATCCTTTCTCAGAGATGGTTTCAGTGAGTATATTCTTGGTTCACGATTTGAACTAAGATGCACATTCACTAAGCTGCGCTTTCCCTGAATGACATCACAGCAACAGCGCAATTTTGAATGTAGTTAAAAATGCAACTTTTAATATATTAAACTGAATAAGAATGTCAAATATTTTCCTACATGAAAGAAGAGTATAAGGTAACAGAGAAGGGTCGTCTTGGCAAAATTCATCTCAGCTACACTTAAATGCTTGAATTTTGCGTGCTTTCTACTCTCCCAAGTGAGTTATCGATGAGTTCCTGCCGCCGTCAGCTTTCCAACCGGGGATTGCTCCTTCCACCCATGCTCCTTGTGTGCTCCATGAACAACACGCATATACACTTGTGAGGAAAGGAGGATCGGTATTCGCATGGAAAAATAAAACTACAAAAAGGACCTTAGTTCTTCAGCATTTGTCTAGAATGTTGACTTTTTACAGCCTCAACCAAGAATGGTCATGCAGTGAAAAAATGGGGGGAAAGCTTGTTTACTTACAAACTTTCTTGCATCTTTGAATCTTTTTCGCTTCCTTGTTGAATAGCTGTTGAATTGAAAAAAAAAACTGAGAAGTCACGATTCAGCGTCCTGGTTTGATTAAAACAGAGAAGTCATATTATTTACAAACGGGGCACGAATGCGTTGTTTCATTCGCGCGTTCAGCCCGCCCCCAATTTCGTTTCCGAACAGGGATAGTTTGCGAAGTGTCAAGTTAAGTTACTTGTCGTTGATGAGACCAAACAAACTACGCCGCCACAAAATGTACCGAAAGCAAGCATTTTATCAACAGCTTCAAAGCATTCGAAAGTCACCTGATTGTCCTCGTCGAGGGACGTTGTTTTTTTCAATTATAAGGCCACTATTATTGATGTGGAGAGTGGGTTATATCGAACGTTCGATCCTGGTCTAAACGAGACAGTGTTCACCGCTCCTTCCTATCATGTTAATGTGAAAAGCGTGCGCACAGGAAATATCCTGGGACGAGACTCAGAAGTGCAAAGCAAGCGCGCTACGTAACACCGAGCTTCGAAGTGTAGTCATCAGCAAGTTAGCGAAAGCTGCGCTAAAATATCAAGTGGATCGATCAGAGGGAGCGGGTGCATTCAGATCGTATCCGGTGGAAGCGGACGCAGAATGTACAGTACTCGATAAGTAGGCAACATTTGCCGTAGTCTTATGGTGTAGAAGGGAGCTTTTTTGGACTGAAGGCTGCGGAAGGTAAGTGAACTTCTTCAACAATGTTTAGGATTATAATTATTGTTATATGCAGACAGGCAGGTATTGGCGCAAAATTTACGCTGGGTGGATACAATGTACGCCTTTTGTCAATATGACCGATGGAGGGGTGCAGTATCAGTTTTTTGGTTTTCTGTTTTTGTTTTTTTTGGGGGGGGGGTAATTTTTAGGTATGATTCCGCCATTTTTCCAGAATTTTCCATCCGTGTATATTGAAAACATGCGCCTAAAATCTGCTTTGCAGTACGTACCTTAATTACGTATCCTTTTTTGTTTTAAAGAAAAGCGCCCCGGCTTTGAACACAATTTGTAAACCTTGTTTGCTTAATGTTTGTCCTTTGGTGAGACCCAAAACTCACTGTATTGCAGTGGACTTTGGAGAAAGCTATTTTTTATAAGTAGTTATTGGTTTTATTTTGAGACTATAGAAATAGTTGGTGCTGGAATGGCCATTTGCAGGTCACAAGTTAACTCTGAAACATTAAAAAAGAAATATAGTGAAGTACGTGGGTATCGAGAACCTTGAAGATTTCTTTCCAAACTGTCATGACGTGTGTTTACCTTTTAATGAGCGATTTATTTTCTGAAGTGTGAAACCACTGGTAGACCTCCTATCTCTAACTGAAGACTATTGTGCAGGGTGAAAATCTGATTAGCATTCTTCAATATATGTTGCGATTTTGTCGGCTGATGTCAAATCGCGTACTCTTGTGGGGAATTCCAGTAAAAATCTAGCTTATGCGCGTTATCGATATTGAGCCTCGCTTATTACCTTGGCAGGGATATTACATAATACGACAACGTATTACCTCTATGTAAAGTTTGGAATGTTTGCATCTTGCTGTAAAAGTCTCGTTTGGCATTTAGCGTTGTCTCATTTTGAAGTCCATACTGTTATTTTCCGAAAAAATACCTATTTCACTGTCGTCAACTATTTTAGGAAATTTTAGGACACACAGTTTTGCATTTTATTGAGGTAATGGAAACGAGCAAACTGCAGATAGTATACTATCTTGATAATTTTTGAAGTTTCGATTGGGTGTGTGTGGGTGTTTCAGGGCTGCTCTGGGGGCGGATATCCACGGGGGGTGTGCCCCATTGCCACCACTCAAAACAAAACAACAAAACTGCCTGAATGCTTATCAGTGTAGACACCATTTATGCTTCACTTGACCAGTACCCGATCGATTAGACTGGGAGGAGATAATCGCCGGTACTTTTTTGTTTTTGCTGTGTCAGTTACATCCT